CTGAAAGCTTCTCGGTACAATACCCAAAAAAACTGACCTTTTTTTGGAACCCAAAATATGACTTCCTATATATAAATCTTAACCTCTCGACCATTTCGAGATTCCTTGTGATGTCCGGGGTCTCATCCGGGACTCCGAACAACATTTGGTTACCACTCATCAAATATCCCAATACTACCCTAGCATCAACCAACGTTAAGTGTGCGACCCTGCAGTTTTGAGAACTATGTAGACATGACCGAGACACCTCTCCAGTCAATAACCAATAGCGGAACCTGGATGCCCATATTGGCTCCTACATATTCTACCAAGATCTCTATCGATCGAACCGTTATGACAATATACGTTATTCCCTTTGTCATCGGTATGTTACTTGCCCGAGATTCGATCGTCGGTATCTTCATACCTAGTTCAATCTCGTTACTGGCAGGTCTCTTTACTCGTTCTGTAATGCATCATCCCGCAACTAACTCATTAGTCACATTGCTTGTAAGGCTTCTTATGATGTGCATTACCGAGAGGGACCAGAGATACCTCTCCGATACTCGGAGTGACAAATCCTAATCTTGATCTATGCCAACCCAACAAACACATTCGGAGATACCTATAGAGCATCTTTATAATCACCCAGTTATGTTGTGGCGTTTGATAGCACACAAGGCATTCCTCCGGTATCCGGGAGTTGTATAATCTCATAGTCGGAGGAATATGTATTTGACATGAAGAAAGCGGTAGGAATAAAACTGAACAATCATTATGCTAAGCTAACGGATGGGTCTTGTACATCACATCATTCTCCTAATGATGGTATCCCGTTCATCAAATGACAACACATGTCTATGGCTAGGAAACTTAACCATCTTTGATTAACGAGCTAGTCAAGTAGAGGCATACTAGAGACACGGTATTTTGTCTATGTATCCACACATGTATCAAGTTTCCAGTTAATAAAATTCTAGCATGAATAATAAAGATTTATCATGATATAAGGAAATTAACAACTTTATTATTGCCTCTAGGGCATATTTCCTTCAAAAACGAGAGGTAAATGGTGAATAATGTAAGTGCAAGAGATGAGAGTTTATGATAGGTACTTTGGTTTTTCCCTTGAAGAGGAAAGGGTGATGCAACAAAGTAGAGATAAGTATTTCCCTCAGTTAAGAACCAAGGTATCAACCCAGTAGGAGGAACACACAAGTCTCCAATAACTGCACCTACACAAACAAACAAATACTCGCACCCAATACGAAAAAGGGGTTGTCAATCCCTTCATGCTCACTTGCAAGGATGAGATTTGATAGAGATAGGTATAAAAGATAGGTAAAAGTGCAAAATAAAGTAAAGGTAAATAAATTGCAGCAAGGTATTTTTGTATTTTTAATTTTATAGATCTAAAAATAATATGATAAAAATAGACCCAGGGCCATAGTTTTCACTAGAGGCTTCTCTCTAGAAAGAAAGCATACGATGGGTAAAAATATTACTGCTGAGCAACTGATAGAAAAGCGCAAAGTTATGACGATATCTAAGGCAATGATCATGAATATAGGCATCACGTCTGTGACAAGTAGACCGACTCCTGCCCGCATCTACTACTATTACTCCACACATCGACCGCTATCCAGCACACATCTAGTGTATTAAGTTAGCAAGAACGAAGTAATGCCTTAAGCAAGATGACATGATGTAGATGGATAGATGCAATCAATATGAACAAACCCCATATTTTTATCCTTAGTGGCAACAATACAAATAGGTGTCATGTCCCCTTCTGTCACTGGGTATGAGCACCGCAAGATCGAACCCACTACAAAGAACCTCTTCCATTGCAAGAAAAATCAATCTAGTTGGCCAAACCAAATCAATAGATCGGAGAGAAATACAAAGCTACCTCAATCATGCATAAAAGAGTTCAGAGAAGATTCAAATAATATGCATAGATAATCTTATCATAAATCAATAATTCATCGTATCTCAACAAACACACCGCAAAAGAAGATTACATCGAATAGATCTCCAAGAACATCGAGGAGAATACTGTATTGCAGATCAAAGAGAGAGAAGAAGCCATCTAGCTACTAGCTATGGACCCCTAGGTCTATGGTAAACTACTCATACATCATCGCAGGGGCAACAAGGTTGATGTAGAAGCCCTCCATGATCGAACCCCCCTCCGGTAGAGTGCCGGAAAAGGCCCCAAGATGGGATCTCACGAGGACAAGAACTTGCAGCAGCGGAAAAGTATTTTTAGTGTGCCCTCTGGTATACAAGGAATATTTGGGTATTTATGGAGCAAAGATTAGGGTAAGAGGAGCACCGGGGGCCCCACAAGCCTGGGGCGCGCCCCCCTAGGGCGCCTCTCGAGCTTGTCGCCAACTGGTGGCCCCTCTAACCTCCTCCCAAAGGTTCCTAGGTGTCTTCTGGTCCAAGAAAAATCCTCAAAAAATTTCGTTTTGTTTGTATTGATTTTCTGTAAAGCCAAAAACAAGGAAAAAATAGCAACTCACACTTGGCACTAGGTTAATAGGTAGTCCCAAAAATGATATAAAATAGCATAATAATGCATATAAAACATCGAAGATGGATAGTATAATAGCATGGAACAATCAAAATTATAGATACGTTGGAGGCGTATCAGTAATACACATGATGATCCATTAGGGTTCCAATGTTACAATGAGATGGCGATGAATGTTGGTGATGGTGGTTGGTGAAGATGGATGATGTCAACGTCCCCTTGCACGTGGTAATGAAGATGTGATCTCCTCCTTGCCAATTCCCCCTCCGGGTGCCTTTCGGAGGCTAGGGTTCTACCTTCTGGATGTGTGTTTGGTGCGTATGTTCGTCTCATCCTCGATTCGATTGCACATGGTCGAAGTAGTCGACCAGGAGGAGTCATTGACACGCCATATGACCGCCTGCGCTCGTATGGATGGCCGTCTTACGCTCTGGAAGAGCTGCACGACCTTGAACTTTCTCCATTTTCTTTTTATGGTAGATGAGAATTACGTTGAATGACGTGATTCCACTATAATTTCCTGTGATTCCTTCCACAGTGCTTTGTTTGTTCCAAAAGGTATTTTCTGGGGGAAACCAACAAAGAGTAGTGCGTGAACGCGGTAAAATTTCACAAAGCGTACCGTGTGTGCACCAAATAACCATCAAAATTATCATACATTTTGGACTCATTAGTGTGCATGTGTGTGTGTGTGTGTGTGTGTGAGAGAGAGAGAGAGAGAGAGAGGATGGGACGTGTGTGGGAAAAGAGATAGGAGACTGATACACCTTGGTCGGTCGACAAGCGGATCAGACCAGCCACCAATAGAGTTATTAGATCCACTACACAACAGCCGTTCAAACTCGGTCGTGTCTGCCAACTAACAAGTGTTAGCAAAATGTGCCATGTTGCGCATATTCGCTCGGAGATTTGCAAGATGAGTGTTTTTCAACATGAGCCATGTTGCACCAAAACGTTTGCAACATGGCCTTGCAGCACACCGCCAAAAGCTCAATAGAATTGGGACACCGACTTGAAGCAGCGGCTTGCAGGAATCTCCCCACGGCCTTGCAGCATGTCGGGGAGCTCACTGAAGTTGAGATATCAGCTTGCAGCCATGGTAGCCCATTGCAGAGGAAAAGCCCTCGCTGACGAAATATAATTAGTGGCGCCGGCTTCAGCCTGCTCCAAAGGGTGGGAGGAAAGCCCTCGTCGACGAAATCCAACTAGTGGCGATGGATAGAGGAATCAGAGAGGACGTGTATCTCCATGGAAAAAAACTTGTGATGGAGCCTTTCCTCGAGAAGATGACAAGGAGGGGTAAACTTAATGGGCAGGTCCACACGACGCGTGGCACACTCTGAAAGCGGACAACGTTGGTTTGTTTTCGGCCGGTTGAGGGAAAGCATTTCCTAAAGAGATAAGAAGAGAGAGAAGCGTGTACGTGAGCGAAAGAGATGAAAATAATAATGACTATCCGGTTCTCTTTTCGCTATTGCATTCCCTGTGTAGATCGGTTCAGCCCATTTCTACTAGAAAATCAACAACGGTTCTATCGCATTGCAAGGCAAACAACGGGATATTTTCCATTGAACTACATATGTCATCTTTTCATAAGGCAATAATTAGCCCAGTATTAGGAGAGGAATCGGATCCTGGCCAGGTTAACATACTACTCCCTCCGTCCGAAAATACTTGTCCTCAAAATGAACAAGTATTTTCGGACGGAGGGATCGGAGTACTACTTTTTCCTCATAAATAATCAACAAATTGGTTGAAAAAAATACCTTCACAGAAGAAACACGCGGACCCACTGTCATAGGCCGTGAACACGATGGGCCGCGGGGACGAAACTATAGCTGGCCAAATGGGCCGTTTTTTTCAGGCCGGCCCGTGAGCACGCGCGGCACGGCCCGCCTTGGGCTAGGCACGACACGGTCTAAACGGGCCGGGCCCGGCACGCGGCACGCCCTGGGCCGTGCCTGGGCCTGGAGGCTGGGCACGCGGGCCGGCACGGCACGGCCCGATTATGTTTTTTTATTTTTTTTATACATCTATATATGGCCCAATATATAAAAATAGGCTAAAAACGCTCAATGCGGCAAATAACAGGCTGAAAATATGCGGCCCACCGTGCTAAACGGGCCAACGTGCCGGCCCGTTTACTAACTGGGCCGTGCCTAGGCCTGGGGGCGCAGCACGCGGGCCGGCACGGCACGGCCCGTATAGTAATCGTGCCCTGGCGGGCCGTGCCGGACCAGGCACGATTATGATGGGCCGGACCGTGCCGTGCCGGGCCGGCCCGTTTGGCCAGGTATGGACGAAACCAACCAAACCCTTGTCCGTTCCATTCCATAAACCCGAGGAAGCAGAGCGCGCACACCCCTCGCCTCGCTTCCCCTCCCCCGCTCCCCACCGCAGCGCGGCCACCGTCTCCGCCAGAACCCTAGGAAAACCACGGAGAAGACGCGGAGGAAGCAGCCGGCCTCCCTCGCCCGGGAAGATGACGGAGAACCACCGCTTCTGGGGTGCGTATCCTCCTCCCGAACCCCCCCAATTTCGCCCCCGATGCCCCCGATCTGCTCGCGCGGTCCAATTCCGGTGCCCCCGTGCTGCTCGTGCATTTCGCCGCATCTGATCGGCGGGGGGTAATTCCGGCGGCGACGGGTTCCGTCCAGCGGTCGGGGGATCTACGCGACCTGTTCCTGCCTAGGGTTCCTCGATTCTGACCGATCTCTGTTTGTTTAAAGTAGCGCATCCATGTCTGTCGGGGCCCCTGCAATCCGTGATTCGCATTTCCCTTGTTTCGTTGGTTCGGGAGTGCATGCCGTGACCTGATCTAGGGAGAGTGCTGTGGGTATTCTGCCTTGATCTGGATGGAGCATTGTGGTTTCCTGCTTGTTGTTCCTGGGTCTGGGTTTGGTTCGTCTGAACAGTAGTCTCATGGATATCCGGTCGGATGATATTAGTTTCTCCTGTGCTTTCAGTGCTCATAACCTACATAGTAATGTGTTGTCAGCTTCGGTATATGTTGTGCTGTGACCTGCATTTCTTCTGAAGATGAGCATGCTCTGGTAATTGTTCGTGTAGCACTGCCAATGCATTGTTTCTGTTCTGTATGAAGAAATGTCCCCATTCTGTTTGCCTTGATAATGTGTGGTGCATATTTCTCTGGGGCGCCTCAGAAAGCAACAGATATTTGTGTTTGCGAATTTCCCATATTTGGTAAATGACTAATGGCTACTCTGCATGGATGCCAACATTTTTAGGAGTGGTCGTCAAACCTGGAGAGACAGTGAAGTGTGACCCAGGAGATTCATATTATCACATTTCGACGGTGTGTTTTACACACTTCATTTATAAGTGGCCTTCTAGCTTATTTGTAGGTGGATCAAGTTTGCTTACTCTTCAGGTGTTTGCTTTTCTCGTTTACTACAGATAGCATTGGAGGCTGGCAAGGCAGAAGAGGATGTGCAAGTTTTCGTTAAAATTGACGATACAAGGATTATGCTTGGCACACTTTCAGTTGATAATCATCCTCATGTCTTAGCTGATCTGGTGTTCAAAAAGGAGTTTGAGCTGTTGCACTCCTCAATGACCAGCAACATCAGCTTTATGGGCTACAAATTTGATATTATGAAAAGATATCCTTCCACATTTCATTCTTCAATGTTTGCTAAGTAGCTTGAATATGCATTTGTGTTCTTTAACTGTTTTCCTGTCTGTAGTCACATCTCACTCATGTACTAAACAAGGTAAATATTGTTTTTCATTTCAGTACTGGGCATCTATGATGTTCTCTTTGTACAGTTCATAACATGGCATAACTTCCATATATCTGATGTTTCAGATGCTGAATCTGACGAGGAGGTTCCATTGGCTATTCCACTAGACTTCAATACAGACGGTATATTGTTTTCCTATGCATAACAGTTATTGTTTAAGAGTTCAGAACGATGTATCTGCTTTAAAGATTTGCCTGTCTAGTAAGTTTAAGTTGTGATTTTCCGTCATTGTCTTTGTTCTAGAATGAAAACATGCCACATTGACCCTTGGCATGTTTGACATTATTTACTTTCAGGTTACAAAAACAATGAAGCCGCACATGGTGCCAATAATCTTATTGCACCAAGGCCTGCTGATGCTCCATCCTCTATACCAATGGCTAAAGTTGAGGGAACAAATAGTCCTGGAAAGCAAAAGGGAGATGATAAGGTTTGTATCTTTGTTAAGAATAATCAACTGTGGGTTATGATGGAACTGTTGTTTCCTGTATGATTTATTTTCTTGCTCTTGTTGTTCTGGTTTGTGCAGGGAGAATGTTGGTAAATAAGTTCAGTGAACATTCTAACATGTAACTAAAAATAGTTAACATGGACTATGTATCCATTTTTGACAGCTTTTTTTAAGTATATGATCAGTGTTTCTGTGTGTGCACACAATACTTACTTTTATGGAACCTACCACATTCAATTATAGTTGGGTGACAGATCCACAAATAGTGGTTGTAGGTTGTAGCAGCCCAATCAGTGTCCTTGGGAGTTGATACTTTGTTGGTTCTGAAACCTGACATGGATTTGTTAGGTGTGAAAACTAAGTTCCCTGATGCTGAATACGTTCGCAGGATAAGACTGGTATGCAGAATTCCAGTGATGGCGTTGATAATGAGAGTTCTGATCAAGATGTGGATTATCCTCGAAAGGTGCGAGATTGCTCAAAGAGACCTGTTATTTTGATGCCTTCTCATTTTGTAAAATCCTGAAATTCTTTATGTTTTGGCATGTTTAGAGAACAAAGGACGATTATAATCCAATGGAAACACCTCTGAATACACCCCAGGGGAAGAGGGCAAAGATAGCAACACCAACTACGGGCAACAAAACTGGTGTGAAGTGATCTTTATTTTATATTTAATCTGCTGAACTTGCATTGTTCTTTTAAAGGCACAGGAATCTCACTGCTCGATGAACAACTTGCGTGCAGGCTATGTCCACGTTGCGACCCCTCATCCGGCAGCAAAACAGGCTCGCAAGTCAGGCGACCATGTCCACGTTGCGACCCCTCATCCGGCAGCAAAACAGGCTCGTAAGTCAGGTGACCATGTCCACGTCGCGACCCCTCATCCAGCAGCAAAACAGGCTCATAAGTCAGGTGAACATGTCCATGTCGCAACCCCTCATCCAGCAGCAAAACAGGCTCGTAAGTCAGTTGACCGCGTCCACGTCGCGACCCCTCATCCGGCAGCAAAACAGGCTCGTAAGTCAGGTGACCACGTCCATGTCGTGACCCCTCATCCAGCAGCAAAACATGCAAGGAAGACACTTGAAAACAATGATGACAAGTCTAAGCAATCCGCTGGCCACGTCTGCAACTCATGCAACAGGCAAGATCTTGTTCCTTCTCTTTGAATCTGATCACACCTGGAGCATATGCTGTTGTATCCTGACACACACAAACACACGCTTATCTTCTTCAGGACTTTCAGCTCCTTGAAGGGCCTTGGGGATCATTCCAGGGCGAAGCATGGCGACGCCAAGTAAGGTGGCCTGAGATATGCCGTGGACAGGAGGTGTTAGCTTAGGGGGGATGCTGGTGAACTGAATTTGGGTATCCAAGGCAGAGATGATGTGTAAAGAGGTCGCTTCTTTGGGTCTATTGCTCCCCACGCACCATCAGGATGTTCTCTCTCTTTGACACCGTTCTAGACTGGTGTTGGTGCTATGCTATGCTACGAAGTGCTGTCAATTGTGCCAGGATCCTGGAATCGCGTGGTTAATTATTATGGTTGGGTGCTACTGTCTTGTTGATAAACATTCTTTTGTGCTGTATCTGTTCTTTTGGTGATTCATCATGCTTGTAAGTTGGCCCACATTAGAAGGGTCTGCAAAAGAAACATTATACAGAGTAAACACCTCAGGTGCTGTCAAAGAACAGGGGGGCGACTAGGCGCCCATCTTCGGTTAAACCTTGTAACGGAGCGAATGGACTTTGAGCTGACTAATGGCCTTTCTGGGCCATCGGATGCACAACACATTCTGTCCATTCCCCTTCGTAGCGGCACGGAAGATCACATGGCACTGAGACGCAAGTGCTTCAGCGAACACTGAGGTGTCTTCCCAGAAATGGGGCAAGCTCTGGGCACTGAAGCTCCCAGCAAAGGTCTGGATTTTTCAATGATGCCTTGTCCATGACAGCTTGCCGACACTCATGAACAGTACTAAGCGCAAACATGTCGACATGGCGCCAAATGAACCTGGAGGGCTGATCCTGCTGAACCAACCTTCTGCTGCTTCCATCGGTGAGACAATTTTCACGCGCTAAACCCTGAAGCTCAGCGTCAGGCGATTGATGGGGCGGCCAGTTCTTGGGTTCATCGGGTCACGCTGCTTGAGAGATTCTGACAGGCAGAACTTGGGGTCCTGTATTGTGAGGCTAGAAGCAACCGCATCCTCCACACATGCCGGACTTTGTTTCAGATTTGGTTGCCAGAGATTCTGCGAGTTAATTTTCCACATAAAAAATGATAAATGTTTTTTTTCCTTTTCTTTATAACCTGCTTGCTTTCTTTATAAGTTCCTATATGGACTTCACTGGGGAGGTGAGAGAACACCCCACTTCGTTGCAGTTACAAGGACATACCCCAAGAATTAAGTTACCAGCAGAGCAGACTGGCAAAAAGGAACTGCAGAATATATAGAGCTTCCACACGGTATAACATCAAAACATGGCTTTCCAATTTCCAGGTTAACCAACCAGTATCTTTCCCGAATATTAACCGACATCTCAGTAGCTATCAGATTCGCCAAAAAATATGAACGGCACAAAACTGGGTATACAAGAACCAACACCATATGCAATACAGTACTTCCTAAGACTAATCTAAGGCTGACAAGAGTATAGAAGTTGGAGACGGAGCTTCAGCATCAGCATCAGCAACATGCTGTCACCAGCCAGTAGCAGCAGCTCAAGCGTGCTTCGCCTTCTCATGGGATTGGAGCGCCGAAGCACTGCCGAATGTCCTGAAAGAATCGACGAGAGCATAAGCGTCAGATGTCAAGCCCTGCAATTTTGCTTACAAAGTTGTCAGGCTGTCTGCATACCTGCTGCACGACTTGCAGGCGTGGGCGCCGCGGACATATTTGGACTTGAGATGTTGCTTGCTGTTCCCAGGCGCCTTGTCGGCCTGCTTTGCTGGATGGGGAGTTGCCACATGGACAGTCTTCTTGTCATCTGAAGTAAATGGGGTTTTATAGTCAGTTATAAAACCTGTTCTTACGACGGCCACAAGGGTCCACGGTAAGTATCGACGCACCTGTGTCCTGGCCAGATGGTGTTTCAATCTTTGCCTTCTTGTCAGGAGCAGGCGTCTCCAAGGCGGTTTCGGCCGCCCTCTTCGTGCCAACCTCAGGCTGTAGTGCACAAGAGTCAGATGAGACTGTTGAAGCAAATGGAAATAATGAGAGCTGTTGGACCCGTACCTTAGGAGTGTTTTTGTCTTCCTGATCACTTGTACCCTCCTTGTTACTAGTATCGTCAGAGGCAGGTGTCTTCAAGGCAGTCTCGGCGGCCACCGTCTTCTCGCCATCCTCGGGCTGTAGTGCACAAGGGTCAGATGATGCTGTTGAAGCAAATGGAAGCAAATGAGAACCGTTGGATCCACACCTTAGGAGTGTTTTTGTCTTCCTCATCACTTGAACCCTCTTTGCTACTGGTGTCGTCAGAGGCAGGTGTCTTCAAGGCAGTCTCGGCCACCGCTTTCTTGCCATCCTCAGGCTGTAGTGCACAACAGAGTCAGATGATGCTGTTGAAGCAAATGGAAACAACGCGAACTGTAAGCTATCAGATCCACACCTTAGGACTGTCTTTGTCCTCCTCTTTGCTACTGGTATCCATCTCTTCACTACTGGTACCATCCTCTTCAGAATCGGTATCTAAGCTACTGTACCCATCATCGTCGTACTGGATAAAAAGGTTTCATTGCCATCAATATTTCAAACAATTAAGAGGGTGAACGCACTTGCATTATCATCAGGGAACACACTTACATCATCTGAATCTGTAGAATAAAAATCACTATCATCCTCACCACTGTCATGGTTATCTGTAACCTTTTTATCATCCTTTGTTGTCGGAGGCTTTGCCACATTGCCTTAAAGATGGAACATAAGTTATTAGTTCAGCCAGCTTAATAGGAAACACAATTGCCCCTTCAAGATTAAAATAATAAAAGACAAAATCTGCTTACCAACAATAGGATTGGCCACTTGATTGTTTACAGTTTCCACTTCATCTTCGCTAGAATCAGACTCGCTGGAATCAAACTCGCTAGAATCAGATTCGCTAGAATCAGACGTGCAGTTATGCTTGGGAATCTTGTAACCACACGCAAACACACTGGCAGTTTTTGAACTGTGTGATAGCTCAAACTGTTTCTCAAAGATCAAATCACAAAGAATCTGAGGGTGATTTTCAGCCGACAGAGTTCCAATGACCCCCTTCTGATCACCAATTTTAGCAGATACTGGTATGCCGACACTTCTTTTCTCTGTTTCACCCAGGGCAACCTGAAATCAGTAATCAGAACATGCAAGTAAATCCGTTAGCTTAAGGATCGAGAGACCACTGGTTAAGCTCAAGAGAATTGTACACACAAAGGCAATGAGGGACATGGCTAAACCTGTGTGAGATGAACAACACGCCCTTCACCAGGGTCGCAATAAACTGTCTGTCCCGGCTTCACTTCCACACCTGAACCAAAATAGCAACCAATAAGGCAATAAATACTTATAATTTAACCCAACAATGATATCTTTTTTACTATTAAGAAAGATAGTTAATTTAGCCCCAACGAAGGGTACCACAAACTATATGATCATAAATGAAAACTGCTACTTCACCAAATAAAGATGTTCTGCAGTGCTGTTGGTATTCAAATAGACAAAGGTGTATTAGGAAAAAAAATCTATATAGCAGCAATGCCATCTCACTGCAACATAATGCCTGACAAACTATGTGATCATACATGAAAATTTTGCTGATTCACCAAATAATTAAAGGTTTTCTGCACTTCTTTCATCAGTCAAAATAGACAAAGTTTTATAAAAAATCACATAGCAGGAATGCCATCTCACTGCAAAAATAATGTTTGGAGTGACGACCAAATAAAGCAAAAGCTAACATCAGTTACCACTATTGATTGAACTGCAAAACAGCTTGCTGTTCAATGACAATAACTGCCATGAACCGCCCGCCAAGGTGCAGAAGTATCAATTGTGTAGCTCCCAGAAGAGCTCAAGCCCAAGAAGGAACACACTATTCCACCAAAATCATCCATCCTACGAGGCGACATGCAAAAAATACGACACCGAAGCATGTCACACTCAACCTCAAGCAATCAAGGCCCACGCAAACGAACCAGCTGAGCCTAAACAGATCGTCTCCCAACAAAAGGCACGGCCCAGCATCAGGACGAAACCGCGCACCCGCCGCACGAGACGCGGCGACCGATGACTCGCGTTATCACCCAAAATTCGAAGCAAAATTAAGCCGTGGAAACCGGCCCGAGCCACCGCGAAAAAGAAGAAGACCAAATCGCATCGAACGGAGGTATGGCTTACCCCAGAACTTCATCGTGGTCGCTCGGGGAGTCGAAGGCGCGGCTGCGCGTAAACCCTAGCGGATTGGAGCGGGAGGGAGAAGGATCGGGGTTTAGGGTTTTTGGCGGTGGAGACGACGGAGGGGAACAGGGGAGCGGACTCCAAATTTAAAGAGAGACGGACGGCCGAGGGCCGTTTGATTCTTCTCCCTGAGATCTGTCCGTCCGTCCTTTGTTTTTCCTTCTTTAAGAAAAGAATACCCAAAAGGCATCTTAGAGTCCGTAGCTTGCTTTCATCTTTTTTTACTACTCCTATACATAGTAGAATGTCTTGTCACTAGTAGAAAAACACCTAATAGTCTCGGTTCATAAGGGCCTTTAGTCCCGGTTCGTAAGGGTCTTTAGTCCTGGTTCATGAACCGGGACTAATGGGTCGTTACTAATACCTCCACCCATTAGTCCCGGTTCAAACACGAACTGG